AAACAGCTGCAATAAATATGCCTTGAGCGTCTGATAATAATCAAATAATATTGTAGATGAAAGCTTGAAGATCCTGATGATAAATATATATGCTCCGTTCTTCAGCAATAAAACTCGGTGATATGAATGTATGATAAATAATGCCCAGTGACTTGGGTCTTTGATGTCTAGTTGCTCAGATATGTTGCTCCATGATCATGTTTAATAACTGAAATAAAGATGTCTTGACTGTCTGATAAAATAATGTTGTAGATGAGATCTTCTGGAGAAGATAATTGTTCCAAGAGAGAGAGTCCGTTCTTCGGAAATAAAACTTGCTGATGACAAATAATGTAGCGGATGAAAGCTTTCTCGAGAAGAGAATGTGTTCCAAGAGTCTGGGAGTCTTCATAGATGATAAATGTGTATGCTCCGTTCTTCAGCAATAAAACTCGGCGATATGAATGTATAATAAATAATGCCGAGTGACTTGGGTCTTTGATGTCCAGTTGCTCCAATTTAAATCCTGCAACAACTAGTATAGTTGTGTATAAATGACGATAAAAATGTGCCTAGTGGGACGTTGGCCAGGCGCTGGCCATATAGGACTTTTGTCGAGGGGTAGCACATCTCGGACTCTGTTTACCGAGGGGTATCACATCCCGAACTCTATTTGCCGAGGGGTAGCACATCCCGGACTTTGTTTGCCGAGGGGTATCACATCCTGGACTTTGTTTGCCGAGGCGTATCACATCCCAGACTTTCTTTGCCGAGGGGTAGCACATCCCGGACTTTGTTTGCCGAGGGGTATCACATCTCGGACTTTATTTGCAGGGGGTGAGAATCGTCCCGGCCTTCATAATTAATTACTGGGGGTGAGAACCATCCCGGCCTTCACAATTAATTATCGGAGATGAGAACCATCCCGACTTTCAACTCATATGAAATTTATAATCATATGAAATTTATAATGATGCAGTTGGAGAGAAACATATATATGCTAGTGAAGAGATGTTGTTGCCTGGTGTTGAAAATAAAACCTGACCATGTGAATGTCATTGGGCACTTGGCATGCAAGTGTTGATTAGATAAATTTCAGGTTGTTGATTGGCATGAGAGCTTGGTCTACATGTTGGGAGAGCTGAAATCCTTCTGTTGGGCGTGATGGAATGCTTGCCTCCCTATTGGGCGGGATGAGAGCTTAGTCTCCATGTTGGGAGAGCTGAAATGTTGGCCTCCATGTTGGGCGTGATGAAATGTTGTCCTCCCTGTAGGGCGTAATGAAATGCTGGTCTCCATGTTGGGCGTGATGGAATGCTGGTCTCCCTGTTGGGCGTGTTGAAATGCTGGTCTTCTTGTTGGGCGGGATGATAACTTGGTCTCTTGTTGGGAGAGCTGGAATGCTGGTCTTCCTGTTGGGCGTGATGAAATGCTGGTCTCCCTGTTGGGCGTGATGAAATGCTGGTCTCCATGTTGGGCGTGATGGAAAGCTGGTCTCCCTGTTGGGAGAGCTGGAATGCTGGTCTTCCTGTTGGGCGGGATGATAACTTGGTCTCCTGTTGGGAGAGCTGGAATGCTGGTCTTCCTGTTGGGCGTGATGAAATGCTGGTCTCCCTATTGGACGTGATGAAATTCTAGTCTCCCTGTTGGGCGTGATGAAATACTGGTCTCCCTGTTGGGCGAGATGATAACTTGGTCTCCTGTTGGGAGAGCTGGAATGCTGGTCTTCCTGTAGTTGGGCGGACCGCTTTTCTGATAAGTTGAGCGGTTGGCGCTATTTGACATCTTGGGCGATAGGACTTTGTGGTGGGTGGTAGTTTCTTTGAGTCTTTTTTGGGCGGGGTCTCTGGGCGGTTGCCAGACCTGGGTTTGGAGCTGATGTCCAAATGAGGTGTACTCTGATCGGTAGAGGATGGAATTGGCATTTTGGTTTGACTATTTCTTCTTGTTGGTGCTTGTTGTGTGGTGATTCTTGATTTTGGTCATCAAGATGGAGTTCAGGTTGGTGTGAACGCCAAACAAGACACGTGAACGCCGATGGGGGTATGCTAACGCCAAAAAAGGAATATGAACTTCGAATAAGGGGAGTGAATACGTTCGTGTTCTCCCATACTTATGAAAGAGAGACTTTATATGAATGTCGTTTTCTTCGTTCTTTGTAGACCCGGAGTCTTCAGGTTCTTTTCTACTTTTCTAGTCTTCTTTCTCTGTTTGCAGATTTGACACGGTTCTGGGTTGTGAAAATAGGAAAAAAATGAGAGTTCTTAGAACTTCCAATAAAGAAATGGGAATTGAAATTTGTCGTTTCCCACAGACAGCATTAATGTACTGATAGTGTACACAAGATGTGCCCCGTGGAGGGTGAAGTATGTTTATACAGGGGGTGTCCATAGTGGTCTTGGTAGAGACCAAGTCACTAGTGAAGCTTCCCATGATGTGCATCAAGGGGGGAGTGTGTGTGAGTGACAACATATCAGAGGAGTGGGGAAGAAGGATATCCCCTCTCCATGTGTGAGAGGGGTATTTAGAGAGGAGAATCCTCTCTTGCATTGGGGCTTGAGCTGGTCAGCCCATGAGCTGTCTCATCAAGCTGCTCCCTGTCAGTGGGGCAGCAGTGCAGGATGGGGAATGTCCCAGTGGTGAGCCTCTATGGCCTGCCATGAGTGCCCTCTAGAAGGTTCTAGATATGGACTTTAAGCGATTGGGCCCATCTGGTGGGCTCAAGTGAGTAGTATCCAGAACAATATATATATATATATATATATATATTTTTTTTTTCACCTTAAACTTAAAAAAAAAAAAACAATTATAAAACTTTAATGCATAAATAAGCAGTTTGTGTTGTTATTTTTTTATTTATACATAAAGAACAATATAAACAATTAAAAATGCTCTTACCCAACACTTTATGATTTTAAGTTAATTTGGTTCTTTACATGATATCATAGTTTCAGTAATCATAAGATTACTAGTTTGATTCTCACTATCCTCACTTGAGAAATTAAATTAATATAAGGTAAAAATAAATAAATCTATCTAATATTCATATTTCAAGTTCAAAGAGCTCTTACGTAATAGATTTATTAGAGAATAATATAAATCATTAAATTTTTTTTCATCCAACCGCTTAAAATTAGGTTAAATTGACTCTTTACAGTACATAACTATGATAGATATTAAGACGGAGACACATTAAATGTAACAAGGAAGGTAGACTAAATAAATTTTCATGATTTGTAAAGACTCAATTCACGCACTAGAAAGAGGAGAAAAAGAGGACTTGTTATACTTTTTTAAGCTGGAGTAGTCTTGTCGAATTGAGTTATTGAGGACCACCAATATATCTAATGATTCTTCAAAATTGGTGACCTAGAACTTGAAGATTTTAGATGCGCTGAATTTCAACGTCAACGCGTGCAACACTATGCTAGCGATTAAAATAAGAGCCAAATCCGACATATAGAGTTAAGCCAACAGTATATCTCCGGTGTTTAAGATGCTAAACAACTTTGTTTATGCAGCAAAGTAGGTCAAATCCTTTGAAAGTTCCAGAATCTGAATAGGAGGATGGCCTTTTTATTTATTTATTTTTTTTGTGTACAAATGGAGGGTTTTTTTTTTTTTTTTTTGCAAGGGCGTGCATTCAATGGGACAAATGACTAAAAAGAATCACCAAATAATTCATCTCAAGACAGATAGACTGTGTAGATCCCACGGCTTCAAATTCCACGTATTTTGTTTTCTTCCAAAAAAGTAATGTTTATTATTGTACTTAATAAAAGTAACACCGAATATGCATGTGCCAATCAATCATCACACATGCCTTTTTGGAGACGCACAGAATGATCGACCTAGCATCTGTATTGAAGCCGTGCAAGCTACGCTCTAATTATTTGTTGATCTGTCTAAGATTCATGTTCTCTTTAGTGATATCAAAATTATTATGCTTGGTTCAATATTTACATTTTTGTTTATATTGATAGTAGTTAAACTATCAAATACTAGGATACCAAAAAAAAAAAAAAACTATCAAATACTATTCATAAAGAGTAGCTCAACTAAAGAAACAAAATTTTAAAAAAAAGTATTAGTGAGAAAAAAAATCTAAATTTAAAAATTAGTTTCAGATAAGAAAGAGCGTAAAAATCCTTAAAAACCCACAAAAATCTCGTGCTACTAATACACAATAATGTGTTAATTTTGATTTGATAAATGTGACTCCATGTGCAATTGTGAAGTTATTTTTTAATTTATTTATTATCAACTGCTTTTTTATTGTACTTGTTAATAGAATAAAGACAAAAAAAATGGTTAAGATTGGAACATATTTATGGGTCTAAACGAAGGTTAATCTATTTTGGATAAGATCTAAAGTTATCCATCAATTCAAATCCCATCTCATCCCTTGAGGTCGATGATCCCTTTTAAATCTCCGCGTTATTCTCCTGCATGATCTGAATGTGTGTCATCCACATTCACCAAAGCGCGTTATAAGCGTTTGCATTTGATTCGAGTTTTTTTTTTAATTTAGGGGTAAAATATTGAATTCCAATAAAATGTCAGAAAGATTAAATGGATAAGGCGAACACAGTTGGGGTTGGCTGGGAAGCTGGTGAACCTTCCAGCTCTATTACAGCACGCAGTACCTGCAAAGAAGCGTCTAGAATCACTAACACTATAACTGAAAAGTAAAAAATTCGCCAACTTTTTCTATTTTTATAATTTTCTATTTTCTATTTTTTTTTTTGGCCAAATTCAATACCGAAAATTTAGTAATTTTTTAGATATAGATTTTTTGTTAAATTTAGTTGTGCCTACATGACAAGGACTGGCGTGCAACGTCACCTGCAAAGACAAGTGTCACTATCCAATGCCAGACCTTTTTTTTTTTCTTTTTAATTTTCTAACACATTAATTAATTAATTAATTATTTTAATAAAATTGTTAATTAAATGTTCTGGTTTTCTCAGCCCCAAGGACAAAAAAAGAAAAGAGTGGACAAATGGTAAAGCCTCTGTGATTGGTCATTGGCAACTGTGAGGTAGAAAACGAATAAAATGTGGGGGAAAGAAAACCATGTTCAAAGTTTGAAGCAAAGAAAGAAGAGAATATAATAATATAAGAAGAGACCTTTAAGCCTTTTCTATAGTTTTCGTTCATCGTTACCATACCTTTTTGTATGTTTTCACCGTAGAGGAAATTATAATTTTTTTTTTTGCTCTATGTGAAAGTGTTTCGTGTTCAAGGGTTGAAACCTTTTTTGATTTTAACCCTTTAAACTGCTGCAAAGAGCCTTCTTTTGTGGTTTTTCTTTTTGAGGCTGAGAGAAGGCTCTTGCGTGTTCGAATTTCTTTTTTTTCGTGTTTGGGGAGTTTGTTGTTGTTGTTGTTGATTGTGCAAAAGATGTTCAGATTATGGATTACTTATCTGCAATTGGTGGAGCTTTTTGTGAGTTCGTTGGTTCATTTGCTTTATGGGTTTTACATATTTAGCTCAGCTGTTGCCGGAGATCTGTCACAGGCTCTCAATGAATATTTTCACAAGCCTAACGTGAATGTCGAGGTCAAAGAGAAAAAAATGACCAAGGGAGAAAGTGAAGCCAATGCCCAGGATCTGCCTCCTATTGTGTTGGTTCATGGGATTTTTGGATTTGGCAAAGGGGTAAAATCCCAAGTGTTTTCCTTTTGTTGTTTCTGTGTTAAATTTCAATTCTTTGTTCTGCTTTTTGATGAATGTCATTTCATTTCTCTTCTGGGTTTTTGATACATGTATTCTTTGCAATGATCGTTTTTTTTCAGAGATTGGGTAGTTTATCATACTTTGCTGGGGCAGAGAAGAAAGATGAAAGGGTTCTTGTCCCTGATTTGGGGTCTTTAACCAGTATCTATGATAGGTGAGTTCTTCAGGCGTAAAAGCATTTTTTTTTTTCTTAATTCGATGTGTGTGTGCTTTTTTCAACAATTATGAGAAGTTTTTCTTTTTTTTTTGTCTCAGGGCTCGAGAACTGTTCTATTATTTAAAAGGTGGCCAAGTTGATTACGGTGAAGAGCACAGCAAAGCTTGCGGACACTCGCAGTTTGGACGAACCTATGAACAAGGTTAGGAGATCATCATGTTATGATTATTGTTGTTTTTAGTTTTGTATTTTACCTCCCACTTTCCCTTTGTGGTTTTCTATTTTTTCATGAAAATGTCTTTCGTGGTATGTGATTGGGATGCAGGGCACTACCCAGAGTGGGACGAGGATCACCCTATTCATTTTGTTGGGCACTCAGCTGGAGCACAGGTTGTTCGTGTCTTGCAACAAATGCTTGCTGATAAGGTTGGTCCTAATGGTTTTTGTATTTTCACCTTATAAAGGAACTTGTTTGTTTATTTTGGTTTTCAAATTTTGGATAATTTAATATTTGTATTGTCTTCAGGCATTCAAGGGGTATGAAAACACTTCAGAGAACTGGGTATTAAGCATCACCGCCTTATCAGGAGCATTTAATGGGACTACAAGAACCTACTTAGATGGCATGCAGTGAGTTCTTATTAAACTTTTAAATATGCTCAAACTAAGAACTAGTTTATAGTTATTGACTTTAGTTAGCTGCCTTAATTTATTCTTATTGGCTTAAAAAGGGGTGTTTGAGAGAGCATGTAACAGTTCCTACATAAAAATGAAATGAAAAAGAGATAAATAACAAGGATGATAAATTTAGAAGTCTATTTGGCTATGATGCTTGATTCAGCAGATTACATTATTTCTTGCTTCAACTGAATTTTATGAGCTTTTCAACAAACATGATGATAATTATGGCCAAAATTCCCCGTTATTCATATTAATCAATATATTGTTAACTGCCAGAGTTAACTTGTTTGGGTTCAATTAGTTTAGGATAAAGGTGATGTTGATTTACTTAGCAAACTGTGAGTGCTAAGCTAGACTATGCAATTTGAACTTGTTTCAGGCCAGAGGATGGGAGAACATTGAAAACTATTTGCCTGCTACAGCTTTGCCGAATTGGGGTGATAATATATGATTGGTTTGACATTCCCTGGCTGAAGAACTACTATAATTTTGGATTTGATCACTTTAACATGTCGTGGAAAAAGGTGGGCATATGGGGTCTTGTTGACTGCCTCTTGGGGAATGCAGGTCCATTTGCTTCAGAAGATTGGATCCTCCCTGATCTTACAATTCAAGGGTCTATAAGAATCAACTACCATCTACATACATTTCCAAACACATACTACTTCAGCTACGCTACCAAACAAACAAAGAAGATCATGGGTCTTACAGTTCCTTCAAGCATACTTGGGATTCACCCGTTGCTTTTCATAAGAGTTTTGCAGATGAGCCAGTGGCGTCATCCTCCAGATGTTTCTCCCCCTTATAAAGGATATAGGTGGGTTCTTAAATGCAATAGATATTATTTCCACCTTCCTTTGGCAGGGCTCAATTATATAACTGGGATTAAGCTTGATCATTCAAGTTTTATGTAATTGCCTGTGCAGGGATGAGGACTGGCTAGACAATGATGGAGCACTAAACACAATATCCATGACTTATCCTCGCCTCCCGATTGAACACCCCAGCCGCTTGGTTGAAAAGGATTCTGACTGCACACCCTTAGAACCTGGCATCTGGTTTGTAAAACTACCACCTTATTCTTTTGGCTCAATTGTGTAATATATTGATAGAATCAAACCTATAGTCTTAGAGCTTGACTTTGCATTATTTGCTTATATCTGGAATTATAAGGTCTGCGAACTATTTAAGTTAGATCAACCAATTATTAGTTTCTATAACTGCCAGTTAAACTTGCTTTTGGACAAATTGAATCGGTTGCCGTAGGAGATCATTATAATGCAGTGCCCACATTTTATAAGTTGCATTGAAGTTATAATTTCTTTTCTGATATGGAAAGTCTTAATTTCTATACTCAATCCTCCATTAATTTGGGCATTTTTGTTTTATGCATTTGCATGGATGATTTCCTTCCATTAGTATAGTCAGAAAAGCTAGGGGAGCATTCTTTCCGGTAAAATTTTCGGACTGAGTGCACCCAAAATACTAACGAAGGATACCAGACATGGTATTCTGGTTGCAAATTGCCTTTTGAGTAATGTCATTTAGTCTGGTGTAAAGTCAAGTATGTATTACTTGTTTTGAAATTCAGACCTTTTTTTTTTTAATTTTTTTTTTTTTTACCTGTGTATTTTTTGTTCTGAGAAATTATTCTGTGCACTGACCAAGTTATGGTGTTTGATGAAATAGGTACTACAAGTTTGTGGAGGGTGATCATATACTATTCATTGTTAATCGGGAGAGGGCAGGAGTGCAGTTTGATTTAATCTATGACAGTATTTTTCAACGATGCAGGAAACACGTCTTTAGGAAGAAGCTTCCAACAATGCCTAATGAAATCCATCACTAGCTCAACATATTTTCTCTCCCTTATTCAATTAAAAGAAAAATATGAAAAGAAATAGGCCATTCATTTCCATTAGATGCCCCTTCACTTCACCTTTGTAAATGTAAATTTTATCTTCTCTAAGTTTTCCCTCATTTTTATACCCTCCCATTTATGTAATTTGTAGGATTGTGAGAGATATTTGAGGCCTTAGTCAATAGGTTGTCACAATCACAACAGTGTACACAATTATCTCAATATTAATATCAGGAAATGTTTAGGCTCCACCTGTTCCGCTGAGTTTGGGCTTTTATGGAAAGATGAATCCTTGCCCCTGGTGTCACTCTCGAGTCTGCCCAACTTGAAACCTAGCTTTGCCATTTATTTCTTGAAATACATGTATTCCTAAACCAAACACGTTTTTAGACTAATACAATCATAATATTACTGTAAAAGAAAAGAAAAATAAAGAAAGGCTTTTGTGTAGTACACCCTGAAGTCTACTCTTTCAATTAATTATGCGGTTTAAGCTTGCCACACATAAATATATAAGAACAACGACTAAACTTTGTTTACTTGATGATGAACAGATGACTTTATTTTTTGGGGTTACAAATTATACTATCCAGCCATTTTATTGGTGCAATGACAAGTGTCAGAGCAAACGCAAGCTAGCTGGAATTATTTTTAGATGATTATTTTTTAATTGTAATTTGTAATTGTTAATTATTGTTCTGATTTGCTCAGCTCCATGAACGAATAAAGAATGGACGAAAGGTAAGCTTCTATGATTGGTCCATCGGTTAGGAAACGAAGAAAATGTGGGAATGGACCATTTTCAAAGTCCGAAACAAACTAAGAAAGTATAGGAGGAGGCGTATCAGGCATTCTGAAGGTTCACATTTACCACACCTTACTTGTATAAGTATATATTATATGGTTTAAGCATAGAGGAAATTTTGGCGTAAAAGGGAAAGGTGGGGGGGTTGTATTTGTATGCTTCAAGTGTTGACACAGTTTTTACATTGAGCCTTTTAAACTGCTGCAAATAGCCTTATTTTGGGGTTTCTTGAGGATAAAAGAAGGCTGTTGCTTTTGGAATTGTTGGTTGTTTTCCATCTTGGGGGGGTGTTGTTCGTGCAAAAATGATCAGACTATGGATTACTTATCAGCAGTTGGAGGAGCTAGTAGTGAGGTCCTTGGTTCATTTGCTTTATGGGTGTTACATATTTAGCTCAGGTGTTGCTGGAGATATCTCACAGACTCTCAATGAAAACGCTGAGGTCAAAGAGGGAATGCCAAAAGGAGACAGAGAAGCCCATCCTGATGATTTGCCTCCTATTGTGTTGGTTCATGGCTTTTTTGGGTTTGGTCCATTTGCCAAAGGGGTGAGCCCAGTGTTTTCCTTTCCCTTTTTTAGGACTTAAATTTCACTTTTTTTTTCTTCTTCTCCCCTTCATTCTAATGAATCCACCTTTTTGTCCCCTTTGCTTCTTTCATCTTTCCTTGCCATAATTGTTTCTCAGAGATTGAGTGCTTTATCACACGTTGCTGGGGCAGAGCAGAAAGATCAAAGGGTTATCGTCCCTGATTTGGGATCTTTAACAAGTGTCTACGATAGGTGAGATATTGATCTACACAGTGCCAGAACATAATAAAGGCCAACCCAATTAATTTGAGATAAATGTAATGTTGATATTGATTTTGATCATTATATAACTAGTCCTATCAAAATACCATAATATATCTATTTATCTGTTTATTTCATTTCTATAATATATTTATCTATAATTTATATTAATTTTTTCATTACATTGTCACATGTCATTTTTTTTTAATTATCTTGATTTAACCTGTCATTTCTGTTCTTCATGCACATCCCTTTGTAATTTATTTATCTATTTGTTAAATCTGTTACAATGTATACGAAAGTTCTTCTACTAATTGTTACATGAGATTATGCTTAATTTTAAATTATCAATTATTTCTAATTATTACCATTTTCCGAAGGCCTTAAAGATCTGTGCCATTTCTTAACTTTAAATAAATCAATTTCATATTAAAATACTTTTGTACAATCCAAAGTCTTTTCTTGGTCATTTTTGAATGAAGAAAATAAAACGATGAAATAACTATTCTTTAAAAGCACATGACTGCTTGTCTGCTTCTCTTAATAAATAGCCGTAAACCTTGTTTTATCTTGAAAGTTTCTGAAAATTTGAAAGGAAAAATTAAAAATGAGTTTCGAGCGTCATTTTTGTTTAAAACGAAACTATTTAATAAAAATATATTTAGAGTTTATTATTTTGTACTTTTAAAAAAAATTAATTAAAAAATATATTTAAAAATTTATAATATTTTTTCAGAAGTTAAAAATGATAAATTTTCAATATTTTTAAATAAGTCTTATTATAAAATCTTTTCTTAAAAAAAAAACTTATTTAAATGTACCCTCAATCAAATTTATGAAGTTTAAGAATTTACATTGTTCTATGAGATGTTAAAATTAATCTAATATTTTTGAGGAAAAAAATACATAAATCCATATTTTTCCTTTAATCTTCAGTTTTATTTCTTAATAGAGAATAAATCATTAAGGTAAAAGAGTTACTTTTATTTACCAAGTTCATACTATTTTAAATTTATAACCCAAAATTTTTTTTGTAAGTTCATCACTCAAAATTTTTCAAGTCGTGCCAATGCTTCAGCGTACAATCTTGCTTTTTTATTTGGGAAAACTAAGTTTCCTCAAAAATTACTTACTCCTTTTAAATTTTTTGAATTATTTATATTTTTATTTAAATTTTTTTATCATTTATATTTTTAACTTAAACTTTTTCTATCACTTATCTCCCTAATTTAGGGGAATAAGTACTAAAAAAACTTTAAATTAAGAATGTAACTGATTCAAAGTTTTGAGAAGAATGTAAGTGACTTTGAGAAAATTCATAGATTTTTTTATTTATTCATAGCTTTTCCTTTTATTTATTCATAGCTTTTCCTTTTATTTGGTTGTGATTTTGTCCTTTGCAAAATTTCTGAAATAGAGTTTTGTCTCAGAGCTCGCGAATTGTTCTATTATTTAAAAGGTGGCCAAATCGATTACGGTGAAGACCACAGTAAGGCTTGTGGACACTCGCAGTTTGGACCAATCTATAAACGAGGTTCGAATTAAGATCTCCATGCTCTGTCATTTTTCTTTGGGTTGTTTTTCTTCTAAAATTAATTTATATAATTTTATCTAATATTTATTAAAATGACGTTATTTTGGTACAGAAATTATGATGTATTTATAATTGTAATTTTAATTTATTTCAGGATTATAATAATTTTTATCATTTTTATTTTTTTAATTTTTCAATCCCGAAACGACATCTTTTCAATAATATTACATAAAATTATATAATGTCATATTATATACTTTTTCCATCTTTCTTTTAGCTGTAAATTTTTCAAAATTATTATTTTTTCAATTATTTGAACAGCTTTTTATATTATAAAAAAAAAACAGATTTTTTCCTTTAAAAGGAAAAAAATATCGAACCAAAAGGTTCAATTCCTGATTAATTTTTTTATCAAAAGACACGTCAGCATATAAGAAAATTATTTTTTAAAAAAGGAAAAGATCAAAAAAATTCCTATGATTTTTCTTTGAATCATTTAGTCCCATATGCCATTTTTAATCACTTGTACCCCTATGATTTTTTCCCCCAATCCAAATCCTTATTTAATACCCTTAAAAATTTGATGAATGAGTCTATTCTACCCTTTATATCATCTTTTTTCTCAAGCTTTGGAAGAGTTTCTAACAAAATTATCAAATTTTCCTTCATTAACCAATTTCAAAAATAAAATAAAATTATGAAGTGACCCATAACTGGTGATATGAATATAAAAAACAGTTGCAATGAGATTTTAGCCAAAATAATTTTTATTACAAATAAAATTTACAAAAAGAACCAAATGCTAAAGCCTTCCTTTATCCTCTCTTCTATTTCGTTCTTCTGCTTTTCCTAATTTTAAATAATTAAATATACACGTACCATTATTTATTTATTTTATTTTATTTTGAAGAAAAGCTGGATTCTGATGTTACGTTATTTCAACGATTCCATGCTTAACAAATTCATAATTCATTCTTAAAGTAATTTGGGGACTATTTAGCTGCACATTCAAGTTCCTAATTTGTTGATATGATTCCGATAGATTGTGCATAAAATATGAATTATACTTATTGTTTTGGTTTTGGATTATTGCTTGGTGTGTTTGGATTTGTTACTTGCTGTTAAAATTCTGGTTAGTTAAATAACACTGCTTCTATTTCCTCATAGGAGAAAATGTAACAATGGATTCTTAAATATTTAGTTTTTTTAATAAAAATTACTTTGGTTAAAAACTCATTAGAATTGATTATTATATTCCTATCACCAGTCAATGAGTCATGTGTCACTTCACAATTTTTTTTGAAATTGGATAATGAAAGAAAATTTGATTGTATTGTTAGAAACCCTTCCAAAGCTGAGAAGCAAGATGCTATAAAGGGGTAGAATAGACAAATTTATCAAATTTTTAATAGTGTTAAATAAGGATTTGAATCAAAAAATTACAGGGGTGTAAGTGATTAAAAAAATATATAGGGGCTAAGGAATTCAAAGGGAAACCATATGATTTTTTTTGAACTTTTCCCTTTTTAAAATTATTTTAAAAAGAAGACATATATGAAGGAAGATATAAATAATTAAATTAATTCCTGAAAGATATTGTTGAATCCAAGAGAAATTATATTTAAAATGGGATAGATCAATTATGCAGTGAGAGTGATAGATTTTGGATAGGATAAAACTTCATTAGTTGGATAAATTTCATTACCTATGATTTGTATTTCGAAATAGGGTCGTGATGTTTCCTTCATGTGATACTTATTATGTAGTTGGAAAACATATATAATGTTGGTTATTATATCGAAGAAAGATGAAACTACCACGTCCATGAAATATGCATTTCTTTAGTTAAATTAATTTAGGAGTTAACCAGGAACTAATTTGATCAATATTTCAGGATTAATATGGTAATTTTAATACGTTAATATATCTGACGCTACATTTTTCTAATTGAATATCTACTCTAACCGAATCCTTAGGGCACGTTTAGTAGGAGGATTTTTTTTCCTAGAATTCCTTGGTTGGATAAATACTAATGCATCCTTTGCGACAAGATTTTTAAATTTTTTTTGAAAATTTGATTTTTTCGAGATTTTATTTCATGTGTAATTTCTTTTTGAAAATACCATCTAAGAATATCAGTCAGGGATGGTATTATAGGATTTTCATGTCAAAAAAAAATTAAATACAACCAAATATAGCATCAAGAAAATTAACCTAACATTTTCGGAAATATTTTAACCTATCAAATAATTTTTTAGTAACATTCTCAAAAAACTCATTTTCCTATCGTATTGAAAATCATGATTTTCGGATAAAAGAAATTTCTTGAACCAAACGTCCCGTGACGAAAATGTATTCACATGAGATGGGACGTTTTCGAAAGTATGTTTGTTTTGTTGTGCAAAATGGAATGCAGGTCACTATCCTGAATGGGACGAGGATCACCCTGTTCACCTTGTTGGATACTCAGTTGGAGCACAGGTTGTTCGTGTCTTGCAACAAATGCTTGCTGATAAGGTTCGTCCTAATCGTTTATCTCCTAATGCAAAATATTAGATCATTTTACACTCATTTTGTTTCCAGGCATTCAAGGGATATGAAAACACTTCAGAGAACTGGATATTAAGTATAACATCTCTATCAGGAGCATTTAATGGGACTACAAGAACCTACTTAGATGGCATGCGGTGAGTTCTTATTAACTTATGCTTAAACTTCACAGAACTAGTTATTGACAACATGATCATGTAGTCCAAAATTTTCATTGCTCATCTATTTTGCAAATTACCAGTAAGTTATCCATATTAAATAAAGTGTGAGCTTGATTCAGGCCAGAAGATGGGAGAAAATTGAAACGTATTTGCCTGTTACAGCTTTGCCGAATTGGGGTGATAATTTATGATTGGTTTGACATTTCCTGGCTGAAGAACTATTACAATTTTGGGTTAGATCACTTTAACATGTCATGGAAAAAGATGGGCATAAGGGGTCTTGTTAATTGCCTCCTAGGGAATGCAGGCCCATTTGCTTCAGGGGATTGGATCCTCCCTGATCTTACAATTCAAGGGTCTATAAGACTCAACCACCATCTACATACATTTCCAAACACTTACTACTTCAGCTATGCTACCAGGCGTACTTGGAAGATCCTTGGTATCACATTTCATTCATTCATGCTTCGAATTCACCCCGTGCTTTTCTTAAGAGTTTTGCAAATGAGCCAATGGCGTCATCCTCCAGATGCTTCTCCCCCTTATAAAGGCTACAGGTTTGTTTCTATGTTTGCATTAGATATTATTTTCACCTGCGAATGTTGGCTGGATCAAAATGTGTCCATACAATTATACCTCTTATTGGTAGGTCTTATAACTATTAAGTCTTTGCTAAATCTTCTAGCATTATTGTCCAAAATGTGACAATTTCCACTTTTTCTATCTTTTTTTCATTAAAAGCAACATTTTCATTTTCCTTCGGTTAGTGCTTAATGTTAACTTGGATTAAGCTTGAATAATCAAGTATCATATAATTTGGAGTGCAGGGATGAGGATTGGCAGGACAACGATGGAGCACTAAACACAATATCTATGACACATCCTCGCTTCCCAATCGAACACCCTAGCCGCGTGGTCGCACAGGACTCGGACTGCGAACTCTTACAACCTGGCATCTGGTCTTTAACACACTACCTCCATATTATTTTGGCCTAATATATTAATAGTGTCAAGTGTCAACCCTCTGGGTTTAGAGCTTCACTTTGCATTGTTTACTTTTGCGTGGCATTGTATGGCCTAGAAACCATTTAAGTTGATCAACCAATTATCAGCTTCTATCTACCATTTAATTTAACTTTAATCGTAGAGTAATCTTGGACACACTGAATTGGTTATTGGAGATAATTATGATGCAGTGTCATCTAATTGATTAGACTAAGTTAAGAAATTAATTAAAAAAAGATGTATACTGAATTAGATCATATAATTGACCATCTCACTTTGTATCCTGGTATTCGAAAATGCTTAATTGCTATACTTACCTTGCATTAATATGGGCATTTTGTGTGTGTGTGTGTGTGTATTTATGGACGATTCCCTTTTATTTCTAAAGAAGTCAGAAGAGTTCATGTTGCACATTCCCTGATGAGTGATGTCATTTAGCCTGGTGAAAAGTCAAATATGTATACTGTATGACTTGTTTTAGAAATATTATGATGGAAATTTTTTGATATACCAGTGTAATTTTGTGCTGAGAAATTTTGTGCACTAATCTAATTATGGTATTTGATGAGACAGGTACTGCAAGATTATAGAGGGTGATCACATACCATTCTTTATGAATCCGGGGAAAGCAGGAGGGCCGTTTGACTTAATACATGACACTATTTTCGAACGCTGCAGGAAGCATGTATCTACCAAGAAAGACAGTGCCTAATGAACTCCATCACTAGCTTAGCTTATATTACTATCAGAGGCCTTAGTGGATAGGTCCTCGTCACAACCACAATAGTGTAACACAATTATCCCTTATTAAATAATAATAGCTTGCCAAGCTAAAAACTGTTAGAGAGATATAATATAAAATTATTGAAGGTCCTTTGTTTATAAGTTTAAAGTGTTGAGTTGAATTGGTAGCTATTATGGTATAAGAACCAAGGTGATCATGGGGTCACGAGTTCAATTCTTACAATGCAATATCTATGCTTCAAGTCTAGAGGCCTCTTGCATTAGACACTGTGTTAAAAAGAAACTTACACTTCTAGTGGAATTAAAATAGCTAGAACAAAAAATAAATATCCACGCTTCAAGCCTAAAAGACTTTTGCATAATACGGTGTATTAGAGAGAAACTTAAGCTAAGGGTTTTTGCATAATGTAGTGTATCAGAGAGAAACTTAAGCTTCTAGTGGAATTAAGACAGCTAGAACAAAAAAATAGGCATGTCCATATTCACTTTTCAAATTCAAAAGGCTCTTACCTGAGAGAATATTAATCGAGCTCTTGGATTGAAATGATTCTCTACAAAAACCTAAAAATACCACACTAATAATAATTTTACTATTGTACAAATTTATAGTTAAACTTAGTTTTTGCATAAGATTATTAGCTGTTTCTGCATTAATTGGAGCAAGATTAAGTTTATAATTTTCATCGCTTCTTGTTGGAGGCCCAACTTGAATTGCAGAAGATAATGTTATTTTCTTATATAGAAGAAATATTAGACTGTTTATTTATTTGTCATTATCTATTAAATTTGAATAATTTTATTAGAGAGAGTGACTTAATTTTTTTAAAAAAAACATTTTTTATTATTTAAAAAAACTTAAACTTTTTAATTTAACTATGCATATATTCCTTTTTAATTTTAAATATAACGTCTTTTTTATTGATTATACTCTTTGTGGTTATTTGTTATAATTTTTTCAAATTCTAATTTATTTTTTCTAAAATATAACTATCAAATACACGAATAATAATAATAATAATAATAATAATAATAATAATAATAATAATAATAATAATAATATAATACATTATTTTACCTATGCATCACACATTTATTTGGTTTTGGTGGTATCAAGTATCAACAATTTGTTTTTGACCATTATATCTTGCACTATAAATTTGGCCATTCAAGACTCTTGATTTTTTTTATATGTAATAATGTTGAAATCCTTTTTTTTAAGTTTTGGTGAGAACGCATCATTAGATTATTAATTTTTAAGTTTTTTTTTATCATTAGTCTTACACCACAAATCTCGGCCATTAATAATGTCTGATATTTTTAATCATTTAAAACTGTTCTTTTGTCTCTTAAATGAATATTAAAAAGAAAATTAATTTCTTAAAATTAGATGCTGTAAAAAAAAATAAAGGTAACAAAAGATGAGAGATGAAGAAGATTAATATTATTCCCTTATAAAAAAATAACAAAGCGCGGTATAGTTGATAAATAACTGAGTTTATTAAGTATGTGTCAGCTGAGGAATTCCTCGCGGAAACTCAAACAAAAAAAAACTATTATAAACAATGTTTATAGTCACTTAAGTTGATTGACAAAAAATATTTGCATCTGTCTAAGTAATTAAGGCAATTAAATGAGAATTTGTGTAGAATTGTTTTAATCGACATTTAAAATATTAAAATGAGAAGAAAAAGAGAGAAAAATCATGAAATCATTAACTGCACATGCGTTACCGTCAGCAGCATATGCATCATGATAATTAGCACATGAGATTCACTTGGCAAAGAGTCAAAGCATTACGTATACTTGTTTTGTTCTCCTTGTGCAAACACAAGTCACGTGTTCCGAACCAGAATTGTTTCTCAAAACACAAACAAATTAGTTACAAGCCAAACCGGGGACACCATGTTTGTTTTTATATTTTCAAGATGAATTATTTCTTGTTGACACACTGTTTGATGAGTTTAAGCTCACACGGGCGAATATTACCGTAGAATATATGTGTTTGGCTTAGTGGAAGTTTATAGTTATCGCTCTCTTGTAACATTGAAAAGATTTTGCTAATATTTGTTGTTTTCTTAAAGAGACTATATGAACTATATATATTTGTCACATGTAATTGTGCGCACTTTGTGGATAACTGGATATGATGGCTTTGGGGGATCTTTGCGCACTAAAATGGCTTGGACCATTTTAGTTGAGATTTTTGCATTTGATCACATTGTGTTATTTTCCTGTTTTACATTTTATATTTAATGTATTTGACATTTATATTCCTTTTGAATATGGCGATCTGCATTGAATCAAACCTATCTCCGATTTAAGTGTATTGTTCAATGTTTTTTCTAGGTAACTGTATTTGACCTTTTATGTCATTGACTTGATTGGGGATGTGCATGGGTCAGGTCAGGTTAGGTTTTTGTGCCGACTCGACCCAACTTGATTTTTATAAGTCAGATATTTTGACCAGACCCGTTTTAATTTTATCCAAGTCAGGTCTGACTTGATTTGGATTTTTTTGAACTAGTTCAGAACTGGGTCGGATCTGACTTGACTTGGTTTTTGACGTGTGTCTGATTTGGTTTCTGAAGTGGGTCAAATCCGACCTGACCCGTTTTTGACTTGGTTTCTTCACAAAATTTCGTCGAAATTTCTACGTTGCAAACGATAAAAATTTCATCACAAAATTATTTTTTTGTCGGAATACTTTTTGTCGAAAAGCGACGGAATTTTTTGTCTAATGAAATTTTTTACAAAAATAAATTTTCTATCGAAATTTAGTTTCCGTCAAAAGTTTTAACGAAAATGATTTCCTCCATCAAATGTTTTAAACGAAAAAAGAATTTTGTCAAAAATTTTAACGGAATGTTTTTCGTTCAAAATTTTGATAGGAATGTGATCTTACAAAAATTTCGACGGAAATTGTTTTGAAGGAAATGTTTCATTCGGAACTCTCGACGAAATTTAGATTCTCTAAAGAATTTTGACAGAATATTTTTTCGTCAAAATTTCTTTATCGAAATATTTTTTTTCAAAAATTATTACAAAAATTTTTGACAGAAATGTGTTCCGTTAAACTTTTGATGAAAATATTTTTTTATCAAAAAACTTGACGAAAATATTTAGTCGAAAATTTTCGTTGAAAATGTGTTTAGCTAAAAATTTCGACGAATTTTTTTTTTGTCAAAAAGTTTAACGAAAATATTTTCGTCGAAAACTTTTGCCGAAATTTGAATTCTGTAAAGAATTTTGATAAAAAAAAAATTCGATGAAAATGTGTTTTGTCGAAATTTTTGATGAATATATTTTTTTGTGAAATATTTTGACAAAAAAGTTAGATTTCGTAAAAAAATTTGACAAAATTTTTTTTCCATCAAAGTTTTTACAGAAATATTTTTAGTCACAAATTTTGATAAAATTATTTTTTTCATCAAAATTTTGAGGGAAATATTTTACGTTAAAACTTTTCTTTTAATGTAATTGTGATTTTTTTTTCTTTTTTTTCACATAATGAGTGTGGTCAAGTTTTGGGGTCAAAGGGTTATTATTAAAACAAGTCAGGTCTTAAACTGACCCAAATAAAAGTGGGTCAGTATTTAAACTCAGGTAAAAAAAAATAAGTATTTATGGGTCAGATCAAGGGCAGGACAAGTGAACTAGTTTTTTTGTACACCCCTAAACTTAATGATATAACACTTTTATTTTATTTTTTTAAAAAGGAAAACAATTTATATGAATGGGAAAAGTGTTTCTCCTTCAGAAAAATATAAAATTATCTTCTATAATATCAAAACAAAGTCATTTTGAGTTTAGAAAACATTTCTACTTCAGTATAAATAAAATTATCTTCTAATACTAAAACAAAGTCATTTTGAGTTTAGAAAGTGTTTCTCCTTTTAGTATAAGATGAAATTATTTTCGGTAATATCAAAATAAAGTCATTTTAAGTTTAAAAAAATTACATGGTATTTCAAAAAATTTACTTTTTTTTAACATGAATTCTATTAAAATATCATATATATATATATATATATATATATATGAGAAAAATATTTCTCAAGCAGCTTGAGATAAGTTTATCTCCGACCACCCTAAAACTACGTCGCTTTATTTATTTATTTCCTTATATTAATTGATTCACCTTTGAATAGTTATGATTTCTTTTTTTTTCTCTTCCTTTATCACCATTGATCCATTTTTGTATGGTTATAATCTAGTAGCTGGAGATAAAATTATCTCAAGCAGCTTGAGAAACGATAAATCCATATATATATATATATATATATATATATATATATATATATATATTCAAATCCTAAAACGATATCATTTTAAAATTGCTGAAGATAATTTTTCTCTTATTAAATAAGAAATATTAAATCCCGTGTGGGAGCAGAATTGTGGAATTGAGTAATCAGTTGAATCAAACTACAACTTAATGGAGCTTGTTCGAAGTAAAGCGGGAAGTTTTTGAAAGAAAAACATGCAAACTTCGTCCTTTTCTTTCAAAATTTTCTCCCCTCCGCTGCTCCCTTTCTTCAAAAGCCAATTTTCCCACGTGTAGAATATGGGAAAATTCCGTGCTTAACAACTCTTCCAATTCGAAATTGAATATTCCCCATTACAAACTTTCTACAACTGCCCCTTAAATAATGCCCTCTCTTTCTTTTTATTTTCTCCAACTTTAAACTAAGGGAAAAGTGTCTATCATTTAAAATTACACAACTTACATCCTTTCACTCTCACAAAGAGGCGGGACCCACACCTTTATTTTTTTTGTCAACTCTCTCTCCTACTTTATCTATCTCTTTCTCTCTCTTAAAATGACACAACTTTACATCCTTTAAAATTATACACACTTTTCCCTTAAACTAATAAAGAAAAAAAATGGCGGTTAATTTTGTCTCTTATGTATTTTCTCCCATTTTAAACTAAGGAAAAGTAGAAAAGAAATGGTGGTTGATTTTGTCT